AGGAAAATAAAAATGTGTGGTTGGTAGGGGGACAGAGCACAATGATCCCTCCCTTTCCTTCCTGCAGTTTGCATAAACCCTGAGGGTCAAGAAGGAACTTGGAACTGGACTTGGCTGTGGACGAGGACACGGAAACCAAACCACTCTTGCTTTGCCTTTGGGAATTGCAGCCTGGGCTCCCAGGCTCTCCCGTGCTGGGCACAGCCTGGGCTCTCCCTGCCCATGTCTGGAGCCAGGAGCTGGGTGGGAGCAGCCGTGGGCACCCCGGGAATGTGCTCCCAGTTCTCCCAGCAGAGCTCAGTGTCCCTGCTGCTCCTGCAGGGTTTGGGCACAGGGCTGCTTCTGTTACTGCTCTCAGATGATTCTCCTCTCACCCGTCAGCTCAGCTCAAAAACTCGGTTGAGCTCAGATTTATTTTAATTTGGCTGGAGATTTGCTTAAAAGCTTTTCCTTCTCTTGATACTTTTGCAACATTGAAGATAAGTGAAATCCAACACCTGGCAAATAACTTTCTAAAGAGGAATCTTTGTCATTTGAAGAAATCATGTGCTGTGGGAATGATTGGATCCTTTTAATTAAAATGTGCTTTTTCTTTCCTTGCATTTATTCCCATGTGCACGTGCTCCTTATGTTCAAAATCAGGGCATGGAGTGACCCTGGAGCTGTTGGGATTTTCCCGTGGGAAGGCAGGAGGGGATGGAGCTGAGGAAAGGCTGGAGCTGAGGCAGGACACTTCTGTACTGGCCACTCCCAGAATAACCTTCATTGCACAGAGGGATGAAATCCTGACAAAACCAAAGTGAAGGTGATCCCACCTAACCCTCCTCATTCCACAGCATCCCACACTGCTCTGGGTGGGAATGGGTCTCAAAGCCCACCCTGTCCCCCCCAGCCATGGCAGGGACACCTCCCACTGCCCCAGGCTGCTCCAGCCCCAGTGTCCAGCCTGGCCCTGGGCGCAGCCAGGGATCCAGGGGCAGCTCCAGCTGCTCTGGGAATTCTGTTCCAGGGCCTGCCCACCCTGCCAGGGAACAGTTCCTGCCCCATGTCCTGTCTAACCCTGCCCTGTGTCCATGTGAAGCCATTGCCCCCTTTCCCTTGTCCCTGCTGAGGGTGGGATCCTGGTTACACCAGGTCAGCTCACAGGGCCCCTCCATGGACGTCCCTCAGCTCCAGATGATTTTCCAGGCAGCCCAGCCCCTGCTGTGCCCTGGAGCTGCTGCTTGGTCTGTGGGGAGCAGCAGGGTCTGCTTTGTGTCACAGGAACATCTCCCATGGCATGGAGAGCTGCTGTGCTTCCTCAGCCTCCTGCTGCCCTGGATTTCCCTTATCCTACTGATTTGGGGGGAGGGCAGATCCCTCTGCCAGCAGGGAAATTCTCAGTGAATTGCTCCATGATTTTCCTGACCCGTGGGCTATCAGCCTGAGGCTGGCTCTGAGCTTGGACCTGCCAGGACCTGCTCTCTTTTTAGGGAGGCTGTGGGAGAATGCAGTGAGCTCCTCATAGACTGATTGTGCAGAGTTTCTCTCCCGTTCCCACACCTGCCAGAGCTCAGGGCCTGCTTGGACAATGCTCAGGCACAGGGTGGCAGCATTGGAGTGTCTGTGCAGGGCAGGCCCTGGGCTGGATGGTCCTGTGGATCCCACTCAGGATAGTCCATGATTCCACCCCTCTGGGCTGGGTGATCCTGTGGATCCCACTCAGGGTAGTCTGTGATTCCACCCCTCTGGGCTGGGTGATCCTGTGGATCCCAC